AAAGTACGTCCAGTTAATAATCAACCACTCTTATTTCTTCATTCTGATCTACATCAAATCATACGCTATCTGTCTGTCCTGAATTGAGCGCCTCCAGAAAGAAGAATGAACTGGGGTTGACGTTTTTTTGGAGTGGACGTATTATTATATATACATGCATGTATAACTTCCCAGACGCACGAAGCGATGCGAAACTTTTCTCCGAAAAAAATAATTCAATTTTAATCTTTTAAATTATCAGTCCAGTCCTGATATTCTTGGGTATCTAAATTGAAATCCACCAAACCCGTAAAAAAACACCCACAGTTTCAACAGAATACGGAGTATTATGGGAACCCTAAAGCGCTTGGGCTTGGAGACGGGAACCCTAAAGCGGAACCCTAAAGCGCTAGGGCTGGGAGTGCGCCGCCCTGTATCTCTCGTTTAGGTCCAGGGCTGGGGAGGGGTGGGTCGAATGGTTAGCGTGTGCGTACGGTATTATAAGTGGCGTGGTTTCGATTCCCCGGTTGCACGTGACAAGGAGATGGTTCGCCTGTCCAAATCCGTGGGTTTTCTCCGGGTCCTCCGGTTTCCTCCCACTGCTAAAGACCCCTACGTGCTACGGATTACTGAAATAAAATGAGCCATATGTTTGTCCCGTAATAACCTAGTTTGTGCCGAGTGGACGTTAATCCCCCCTGTCTCTCTCTCTCTCTCCCAGGTCCACGCTGACCATAACGTGTAGGCGTCCTATTCATTGATATAAACAGTGTTGTATACATTTGGTTTCTATGTTTTTCTGACCTTGGTCTACATAAACCTATATATAATATATATTATATGAGTGAAAACAGTGTGATCATGATATTTAGTAAAATATGCTACTAGAACTAGGATGATAGATAAGCTGTATAGTAGAACATATAAAACCTTTTTAAACGGTTGAATAATTAAGTGTTATTTGACAAGATTGAACGATGACATCTGAAGTACAGGGACAAGTGTAGGTGTTGAGACCACCGCCTTAGAAATATAAATCACTCTTTAGATCTGATTTAGATCTGACAAGTTCTATTTTCACTTAACATATTATATATTCAATAAATAAGGAAAATAGTCCGCAAGTGCCAAATTTGATTTTAAATGAAAATGAAATGGGGTTTAACGTTCTGCTGTTCGGCTCCGACTGGGCTAATGAAGACGGGCATACGCCATACAGTGTGTTATGAGGGGAATTTTCTCCGGACAGCGGTGCTACGGCCAAATCTTAGTCTTATATCAAATTCCAACTACCAAGAGATCTTTTACGTGCACGCAAATTTGTACAGGTGATCTCTGTTTTTCGTCCCATCCGAACGACTAGACGGCTGTCCTTGTCGGGCCCTCCGTCCTACACCACTGACAAGGTGAACCACGCCGGAAAAACCCTATACACTTTCTTGGACAACACCAGGAGCGTACCAGCGACCTCCATAGATAAAAAGGCAAAGAATGGGCTTTAACGTCTCCGCAACAAAATACTTTGGTCATTTTGGGACTAACATGTGGTTAGTCGTTTCAATACCCACGTGTGTAATGTTAGCGAGAAGTATTTTCCCCGTATCCGCCTACTCTTCTTTGTCAAATATCAAATTGTCAAGATTCATTTCACGCATACGCCAACCAGTTCACGTGTGTGCCAACCTTTTGGCCCTCCCGAATGACTAAGTATACTTGTCAACGAGACAGGCACCACTCCCGATATGTGAGAACCGGGTTTGAAAAATACCGTGGATCGTTTCGATCTTAGTACATTCTAGTTGAGATTATTAAAATCGTAATTAATTTCTTCCTCAATATTTACACATTCAGAGCAAATATCTCTCTAAATTATTAAATTAGGCCTACAGCAGCAGTGTTACATGTAAGTCTTCTGGAATGTTTGGGATGGATGGTAACAAATTTGGAAACAGTAGCCGGGTCTGAGATTTAAAAAACAAATCAAGTTGTATACCGTAGATAGACTACTACTTACTACTACTAGTCTAGTAATGTATAGGGTGGGGTATGTGCACAATTTTTTTTAGAGCTAGGCCTAAATTAAATACCCTCAAAACTGCCATATTTGGGTTTAATTAAGTCAAAAATATGCCACTGACCACCAGTTATAATGGAACAGATGAAATAACCCCAAAATATAATAAAAATATAAATAATATTTAACAAATGAAAATAAGGAAAATATTCTGTTTACGATTCCTATCCGTATCGGCTTATCCTATGTCCGACGGGAAGCTTTAGACTTAGTAGCCTATGTGTGTACGATTTTCTTAAGTGTGGCTCCTTTAATTCATTTAATGAACGTTGCTTCCATATTGTTCCTCTCGGGACAAATAAACAGTGCCAGTCACCCATTGAATGTCCGAGGTTAATCTCTTATAAATAAACACTTTATAATTAAACCACCAGTCACCGCCATCTTAAATCAAGCAAACGACGTATCGACGTAATAAAACCGGCGTACTACACAAACACGTCATCTACTACGACAAACTTAATGACGTAATATGTAAATATGGCCGATGCTACTTATGTTTTGTACACAGTATGGTGTGAAATTGGTTTTTAAAGATATAATTAGATTAGAGGGGTATAAATGGACCCGTGTTTAACTTGGTATAAAGTTTCTAGATTATAGATAAATATGTTTATTGATCATAAATAATTAGCAAAACCCTGCCCGGAAGAATTCATAAAACCGTTGGACAAGATCAAAATAGATTGAATTATAAAGTAGAAAGCGAATATCCTAAATGAAATGAAAATCCAACTGGAAAAGTTGTCTTATAATGTATCCATATGCTAGACAAAGAGACTCTAAATATCCAGCTTTAAACACAAAAAGATTTCCAAAATTTAAACTAAAAAGTCGGCTCATTGCAAATTCTTTCAATTGTTTTTTTTATGTATTGAAGTAAATTACAAACATAAAAGATCCCAAGCCGAACGTGCTTCACCCACACAAAACAACCCATTAACAAATACCCCCACCCCCATCCACCCTCCACCATCCAACACAAAATCGTCAGAAATTGAAGAACAAATACGAAAAAAAGAAAAACAATAATAAAACAGATCAAAACACCCACCTTCCATCCCATCCCATGAATAAGCAAATCTGGAGATTCCCTAATAATATCTTATTTTACTTTCATTTTTATTTTATGATTATTAAGTTGCTTCTACATAATTAAAAAATCCCTAAAATATTAAAATAAATCGTGGATTTTATGTTTCCAATGTCTTAACTTTAGAATAAAAATTACTCGTTTGGTAAAATTATTTATGCCAAGATAAAGATTTTAATTGAACGTAAACCGTAAAATTACGCGGAATAATTATTAATTACTTTCTGGTAATGTAAAAATAATTTCGAGATAGGTAGAAAGTGATCTTTACGTGGACGCCGATGTTCACACGGGTCCCTCCTTGGTCTGATTTAGATTTAGACCAGCACAGCTGGATTGAGACAAACGTTACGAAAATTTACCGATGTCCTCGCCATCATTGATGGTTATTGAAAATAACTTCTTTACACAATTTTCAAAATATAAATGAATAAAAAATCCCGTTAATGCACAAGTATTTGCATTCTTTTTATGCCCATGACATTTATCATAAAAACAATTTACACGTTTTTAAAATAAATAAATCAATAAAAATCCCTTTAACGTACACTTAAATCTTCCGTTATATTCATTAAACAGAAGAAAGCTATACTATATTCACACATATTAACAAATAATCTCAACGGAAAATTTGGGAAAACCTAAAAATGTATTAGTATAACAGAATGTGCTGAATAAATACTGTAATTTTAATATGGACAACTAAACACATATTTATTGAAGTGCACAGACTATTGATAAATTATTTTGTAATTAGTGTGTATTTCAATAAACATTTAAATAAATATAAAAATAAACGCTTTACTATAACAATTATCATAAAATACACGAGACAACTAAACACATATTTATTGCACAGACTAATGATAAATTATTTTGTAATTAGTGCGTATTTCAATAAACATTAAAATAAAATGTAGAAATATACGCTTTACTATAAAAATATCTTAAAATACACGAGACAACTAAACACATATTTATTAAAGTGCACAGACTATTGATAAATTATTTTGTAATTAGTGTGTATTTCAATAAACATTTAAATAAATATAAAAATATACGCTTTACTATAAATATTATCATAAAATACACGAGATAGTCTTTATTTAATACTATACTTTTGTATCTCGATGAAAGTTTGAATACCATTTTATGATTTTATTATTATATTTTCGTATTAAATGCGATTTCATTTTTCGTTTTAATACTTTTAAATTGTAATTTAAGTCTCGATGCAAGTTTGAATACCAATTTGTGCTCTCATAATTTTATATACATCAATTTGTGACTTCATTAATTTTCGTTTTAATACTTTCATATACTTAAGGAGTCTCGATAAAAGTTTGAAATCTATTCTCTCGTTGTTTTATATTCGTACTACACGAATTTGTAACTTCTTTTTATTTTTTTTATAAAATGCTATCCTACTTAAACGAATTTGTGAAGATAATTTTCAACGACACACGACAAATATTCAAATATGATTTTTCAACATACATATTAACAAACCCGTCTTATCACGCGTACCGTACTCTGTTTTTATAATATGACATTATTTTTCGTCAGTGTTATCAGAACTTTTGATTTAACCTAAATATGTATTAATAAAAAAATTGATATAATTTGACAACGACGCCAAAACATAACACAGTTTGGTGCCATTAACAGGTGCCCGTTTCACTGGGATCAATTACGGGTTTTCTACCGTGCGTGTGATAAGGCTGATAATGTTTACTTAATTCATTAGGTGACCCCACTCATACATCAGAACAATTTAACGTACAACAACGACATATCAGGTTACAGAATGGAATTCTCCTTCAATTGTTTTAATCGGTTGTAAGTCGTGTAGGTTTCTTCTATATAAAACTTGTCGTCCACTGATCGTCAGCTTATTCGTCCTGCCTCTTGACGTTGGTAGTAGGAGAAATTGGAGTCAACCAAGGCGCGGCTACTAGTCCCTATCTTTTCCTGACTTCTGCTGATGACTTCGTTTGTGTAAAGTTACATCTGTAATTAGCTGGTGTACTACGCGAAGTAATATTAACGGATTAATTTTATGTTTTGTTAAAGCCAAGGTAAGTGAAATTGTATTTTTGAATTAAATATTTTTTTAATTATTTATATGTTCTATATATTTTCTTTCAAATAATAATAAAAGAAATAATGTTCTTCCCTGTTGTAAATATTCTATTATATTTTATAAAGGGGGAAACATAGATACGTTTTGCTTTGATAAAGTGAAACGTATATTCTAGCAGGACTATTTTAAAAATAAATAAATTATAACCCCGAAATTCAAAACTTATATATCTTACGGTCCTTTAGCGTAATAACTTTAATGGAATCTTAAAGTATATTCTGCTTTCTCGCAAAAGCCATTCTGCAGCTATTATTAAAAGCATTTAAAAATTCACATTTGCGGATCTTAGATTAACGTTGTAAAACAAGCGTCTTCAAGTTTTATCTTCAGAAAGGAGTTAGTAAAACACGTTAATTCTTTGAACCCTTGTTAATTACTGTTGTCCTCTGAATGTATGTTTATTTGCCCTTTTTTTTCTTTCTTTATTGTTTGTTTGTTTGATATTTCTTTATTATAAGCTTATATAATATGATATATATGCACTTTGTAAATATTATTACTGTGTAGTTGCTAGTTTTATACAGTCGGAGGGACATGTTGAAAATTAGAACTCATGTACTAAATATGTTCCCTCGGAAAATAAAGTTATTATTATTATTATAATTATAACGTTAATTTACTTCATGCATATTGTATTTTATTTACCTTATTTGTATCATTCAACCGTCTTCATTAACCCAGTGTGCAGAACAGTGGACCGTTAAACCCCATTTCATTTCAAATCATATTTTGGTCAGCCTGTCACATCCTTAGTATAGGTATTGATTAGGTCTATGTTTTAATAAAATTGGTTTTAATATACTTTTACCTAAAGCAAGCACGTGACAGCAATTCAATTCCGCAAGACAATATAATATACTTTTAAGAAAATAATATCACCATTAGCTATCACATGACAGCAATTCAATTCCGACAGGGCAATATAATATGTTATAACATATACTTTAAGTACTTTAAGAAAATAATATCACCGTTAGCTGAATATCTTGATTAAATTTTTAATAATGTTACCATATAGATATCTTTATTAATTCCATGTATATTATACACGTACATTTATAGCAATTCGATGAAGGTCGCGTCATATAAAAATGTTATAATAACAGTTTTATAATAATATCACCATTATTCTATTCTCTTAACGGATTGTCTTTGGTTACAATAAAATTAGAAACCGTTTACAAAATAACTAACCATCCGATTAAAGGCATTTTACTTATCTAACATGAATTTATAATTTAATTCAGTTGGTTGTTACCAAAGTTCATTAAATATGTTAAATAGTGTGTTGATTCTATTTTAAATATTATTAAAACTATCATGAACTCAGTAATTGTGTATCCATAAAATTGTACCTTGTGTTATCATAAACTGCATATTTAATTCTATTGGTTATAACCAAACTGAAATGGATGTATTGTTGAGTCTACGTTTAATATCACTAATAAACAAATTGATTAAGTCAGTTGGTTATTTCATCAAACTTAAATGGATATATTAATTGTTGAGTCTATGATGAATTCAACTGAAATTAACACAAAATACTATATGTTGATTCTATATTTTATATAGCCGACCCTAATATAAATTCACGATTTAATTGAGTTAAATAAATGTTGATTCTATGTTAAATATATGAGAGAGAGAGAGAGAGAGAGGGGAGGGTTTAACGTCTACTCGTGACAAACTAGGTCATTTCGGGACTAACATATGGTTCAATTTTATTTCAATAATTCGCAGTTAGAGAACAGAAATATATATGAAACTAATATAAGTTGAAAATTTAATTCTGTTGGTTATAACCAAAATGTTGAGTATAACCTGTTGATAATAACCAAATTTTAATAATAAACAGATAAATAAATGAATGAAATCCCATTATATTTCATTTCATGTTATTTGTGTTCGCCCCCCCCCACCAAATATCTTTAAAGGGCGTATGGCTTTACTCTCCGGAATCTTAAATCTTAAAGTATGCGAAAATGGGTCTAAAAGCCCATTTAATATAACTTGAATATATATTCTGTTTTTTTTAAAAAAAAAGTAAATGTTGTAATTTCTAATCAAGTATTCCATTCTTCACGTTTTTATTGATATTTTGTCGTTTGTGAATCAGCCATTACTAATTACTTCCGCATTGTCTTATTGGATATGTTTTCTGTGTTTATTACAAATGGCGCCCGAAACCATAGAATACACGACCCGTGTAGTAAATATAAATATGTTCATTGTGTCTTTAATATTGGATAGTATGATCCTATATTTTCACGTTACGATAACAACATCATGGACCAATATTTAAGTTTAATTCATGTTTTTAAATTTGCATATAATGGATACTATTGATTTATAGGTCTAGCCCCCTAATTGGTTCGGGGCGGGTTGGATGGCTGAATGGTTAGCGCGTGTACGTTGCATCATAAGGTCTGTCATTGAGTCAACTGGCGTAGTTTCGATTCCTCGGTTGTACATGACCAGGAGTAGGATCGCCTGTCCAACCTCGCGGGTTTTCTCCGGGTCCTCAGGTTTCCTCCTACTGCTAAAGACCCCTACGCTCAAGCGAATTATTGAAATAATATAGAACCATATGTTAGTCTCGAATTGACCTAGTTTGTGTATAGTAGACGTTAACCCCCCTCCCCCCCTCTCTCTCTCTCTCTCTCTCTCTCCCGCTCTCTCCCCCCCTTCCCTTAATTGTTTCGTAAACTGACTTCATTTATGTAATCCATAGTTTTTCAAATGATTAATGTTAATATGATGTGATAAAGACGGAAGTATACAGTTTTTCAAAGCGATAAAATTTTAATCTGATATAATGAAGTATATAATCGATACGCGTGTATGCAATTAATTAAGAAGCAGACGGGCGGAGTGACCTAAACTGGTTTCTGTTTTAATATGTCTTTTCACAATCGTTAAGAACCTGTGGACTGAGGGGGGGGGGGTCTAGCTTTAGATCACGAGGTCTGTCATTGCGTCCTGTGGCAAACGAAATGAAATGAAATGGGGTTTAACGTCCTACTGTTCTGCTCCTATGCTGGGCTAATGAAGACGGGCATACGTCATACAGTATGCTATGAGGGAAATTTTGCCCGGACAGCGGCACTATCGCCTACTCTTATATCGAATTCCAACTGCCAAGGGATCTTTTACGTGCATTCCAATGTATACACGGGACCGCGGTTTTTCGTCTCATCCGAAGGACTAGACAGTTGTCCTTGTCAGGCCCTCCGTCCTGCAGCGACCTGTGGCGTGGTTTCGATCCCAAGTACGGGACAAGGAGCAGGGTCGCCTGCCTAACTTTCGTGGGTTTTCGCCTCTAGGTCCCCCGGTTTCTCCCAAATACTAAAGACCCCTAGATGCAAGGCAAGCAAATACTTGAAAACAAGAATAATACTTATTTTAGTCCTGAAATGACCGAATCGGTGTTGAGTTGACGTTAAACCCTATTTTAGAATAATGATTCCCTTTTATTTCCGGAATGACAACCTTTGTAGTCAGATGCTGTGTGGTACCTTTCGTTGCTGGTTTCGTTAATTTAAATGAATCTTACCGTTGGAATGGAGAATAAAACTTACAATGTCCGTTTTTTTTCAGATAAAAATATGACCGGGGTGATAGCCATCCCTATACCACACTATCCTCTACCACTGGAAACAGTCGCTCCCTCCCATCTTTCACACTGGCAGCCATTTCTCGTTCCCCCGTCTTACAATTATCCTATTTATGAGCAACGTCTGACGTCATCATACAAGATGTCTTCTTCCAATACTTCCTGTTGGAATCGAGCACCAGAGGGCGCTGTGATAGATCTGTCCATGACGAGTGGAGTATTACAATCACGAATGCAAAGACCACGCAGTAAGTAAAACGAGAAATGTGTTGAATTTATGTTAAACACACATTATACAAGAGCTCAATCTGCCTATTGCAGGTGTATCTTTAGACCTGAAATGTTTTATAAATTATTAATTAGATATTAATGAACTTATCCAGGCCATAATCAAATCTCGATGGCATCGGATTTCTCCGATATTAAATAGATAAGAACAGTTAAGCCATATTTTGATTTAACCTGAAAATGGAGGAGCGAAACTTAACTTCGAACAACCAATACGGTGGTTGAAATTATTGTCAAACCTTCAAAGGCTAATATCTTCACTCGCAATAGAGTAATTTGAATGAAATTTTCGAATTTTTCATTTTACATTATCTTTTTTCGAACTATTATAGCAAGAATGGCTAGTTCTTTATCTAAATCTTACATAATGTTTGTTTAAGCAGTCGACATTTCTGAGATATATCTGACTGTGATCAAGATTTGACAGTTGTTGATTTAATTAGATTTGTTTGATGTGTTGAGTTGTGAAGTGTGAACAATATTTGCCCCATTGTTTAATACATTTAGTTAACTGTCCGAAGTTTTAGGGAAGTTCCCAGATCAAAGAGACACACTGTCATGTTACGTTGTTTCAAGTCGTAGTTGTCGGGTTGGGTGGCCGAATGGTTAGCGCGTGTGAGCTGTATCATAAGGCCTGTCATTGAGTCAACTGGCGTGGTTTCGATTCTCCGGTTGTAAGGGCGAATGGTTAGCGCGTGTGCGTTGTGTCATAAGGTCTGTCCTGTCATTGAGTCAACTGGCGTGGTTTCGATTCCCCGGTTGTATGTGACAAGGAGTAGAGTCGCTTGTTCAACCTCGTGGGTTTTATCTGGGTTCTCCGGTTTCCTCCCACTGCTAAAGACCCCAACGCGCAAGCGAATTATTGAAATAAAATTGAGCCATATGTTAGTCCCGAAATGACCTAGTTTGTGTCGAGTGGACGTTAAACTCCATGTCTCTCTCTGTCTTGAAGTCGTAGATGGATTTCACTCAGTTTGTTGAAAGAACTGATGTTATTTTCTTTTTTTAGGCAACAAAAATTCACAGACACCAAATAAAAGATTTGACTTTGCTCATCTTGCCCAGTCTATTTTAGAAGATACAGACACGATGACGTCAGAGAAGCACAAGTCACATGATGCTAAAATAATTAGTCACTTGTTAACAAATTTACCACTCAGGTGCGATTAGTTTTACAAAATAACAACTTTTTTTTCGGTAAACTTGATTAATGTAATAATAAACTGTCTTTCACTATATTCTTGCCAACTCAAATCTAGACATCAGAATCAGCTCTCAGATGTTCACTCCTTGTCAGTGATGCAGGACGGAGGGCTTGCCAAGGACAGCTGTCTAGTCGTTCGGATGGGACGAAAAACAGAGGGCCCGTGTACACATTGCTGTGCACGTGACGTAAAAGATCCCTTGACAGTTGGAATTCGATATAAGAGTAGTCCGTAGTGCCGCTGTCCGGGCAAAAGTTTCCTCATAGCACACTGTATGGTCTATGTCCGTCTTCATTAGCCCAGTTCGGAGCAGTAGGACGCTAAACCCCATTTCATTTTATTTCATTTCCCAGGCTTTAGCCATGCCAAACCTATAGGTAAAGCCGGTGCACAGATTTACCGCATTGTTAGAGATCAGGTATTGTTATAAAATAAATTGTTGCACGTGGGTATTTCAGATCTATATTTATTTCAATTTACAGTATTCCACCAGGGTATAGTCACCGTTATCCAGTCTTTACTGACCCGTGTCAAGTTCCGGTGTTAAAGAAGAACAGAAGAAGTGGTCCAAGGTAAGGAACTTCATTTCCAGAAAAATATCAATCCAATGGGAGCTGATGTGGCCCACCAATGAGTAAGATGCTGGCTTGTTTATCAGAAGGTCTCGGCCTCGGGTTCGCCCCCCCCCTCTCGGCCCCGACGCAGTGTTGGCAGATAAGTTCCTCAGTATTTTTCTCTCGGATTTTCAGTACGGAAGGTCGAGCAAGAGCAGTGTCTAGTCGTTCTGATGGGGCCAAAAACTTCGGCGTGCACGTAAAAGAACCCTTGAATTTGATATAAGAGAAGGCCGTAGCGCCCGTGCCCGGGCTGTTTTGCACATTCCCGCAGTTAGTGAAGAAAAGTAGGACGTTAAACCCTATTTCATTTTATTTCAGCACCCGTGATCTCTATATGATCGTGGTATAGCATTTCTTGTATCTATCGGCTACAAACCAGATTCTTTCAGATTAGGATTGATGAACGAGACAACATTATCAGTCTCGCTGTCCAGTCCGAAAGTTGAAAGTCTTGTTACAGCGCCGTTGACTGGCAACTATTTTCATCCATGCGCCTTTCCTCGGGTTAAAAACCGATAACAACCTTGCACTGGGCACCAACGAACGGCCATGACAGCGGTCATCCAAGTGCAGAAGCGAAAATGAACATCGATAATAAATGTCCAAATATTGATTCGAGAGAACAGGAATATAGTTTGAAATTTACATGTACGAGATGAAGGAGGCGCTACTTAATAACTAATTTCCTGTTATTTCAGATTTAAGAAAGAGTTCATTTGTAAATTCTGTGGTCGCCATTTTACCAAGTCGTATAATTTATTAATACACGAAAGAACTCACACGGACGAGAGACCATATTCCTGTGATATCTGTAACAAGGCGTTTAGAAGACAAGATCACCTTCGAGATCACAAGTAAGTTAATAACGTCTCCCTGGGGCATATTTCACGAAATTTTAACTAAGATAAAATCCAAATTTTAGTAATTTGATTGGATAATATTAGACTGATTGTAGCGCTTAGCCAATCAAAATTGAAGTATCTACTAAAATTTAAATTTTATCTTTAGTTAAGATTTCGAGAAACAGGGCCCATATCTATTTTTCAACTTAGATTAAAGGGCTATATATGCCTATAATCAACGCTTTATTTTGAAATGGCGATCTTGTGTCAATCCATTCAAAATCACAACCATCCGATGGCCTAGAGTTCTTTTTTTCTAACAATATTTATTCAATATTTACACATTATAAAGATACAACCCCATAATTAAACATTATATCTTTATAATATGTAAATATTGTTAGAAAAATAAACCCTCTAGACCATCGGATGGTCGTGATTTTAAATGGATTGACACACGATCACCATTTAAAAATTTAACCTAAAATGACAATCGAAACTACGCTATTGTTGTCAAAATTTCAAACATTCATAACTTCGCTCACAATAACGTAATTTGACTGACATATTCAATTTTTATTATCTTACTGTTATATCTAAATATTACATAATGCATCTTTAAGGGTTATAAAATTTGCGCATCCTATACAATTACACTGCGATGGAAGCGGACGTTAAATCCAGCTATTTCACACACACATTTACAGAAGACGATTCACGTTCCATCGTGCTGGTTTATAAATATATTTATATGTTGCATATATAATTAAACATTATATCTTTATAATATGTAAATATTGCATAAAAAACCTAGACCATCGGATGGTCATGATTTCGAATGGATTGACACACGATAAAGCTATTTCACACACACATTTACAGAAGACGATTCACGTTCCATCGTGCTGGTTTCTAAATATATTTATATGTTGCATATATAATTAAACATTATATCTTTATAATATGTAAATATTGCATAAAAAACCTAGACCATCGGATGGTCATGATTTCGAATGGATTGACACACGATAAAGCTATTTCACACACACAATTACAAAAGATGACCCACGTTCCATCGTGCTCGTTTCTAAATATATTTATATGTTGCATATATAATTAAACATTATATCTTTATAATATGTAAATATTGCATAGAAAAACCAAGACCATCGGATGGTCGTGATTTTGAATGGATTGACACACGATAAAGCTATTTCACACACACAATTATAAAAGATGACCCACGTTCCATCGTGCTCGTTTCTAAATATATTTATATGTTGTATATGTATTTTATCTATTTTAGATATATCCACTCTAAAGAGAAGCCATTTAAATGTTTGGATTGTGGGAAGGGATTCTGTCAATCAAGAACATTAGCGGTTCACCGTGCCCTACATTTACAGGTATTTAATTACATTATAAAATATCTCTAATTTCCCGGGAGCCACGGTCGCTAAGTGAGTAAGACGCTGGCTCGCTAGTCAGGAGGTCACGTGTTTGGTCCCTGCATTGGCCAAGGTTTCCCCTTGTCAGTGGTGCAGGATGGAGGGCCTGGCAAGGACAACTGTCTAGTCGTTCGGATGAGACGAAAACCCGAGGTCCCGTGTATACATGGGCATGCACGTAAAAGATCCCCTGGCAGTTGGAATTCGATATAAGAGCCGGTCATAGTGCCGCTGTCCGGGCAAAATTTCCCTCATAGCACACTGCATTGAGTATGTCCGTCTTTATTAGCCCAGTATAGGAACAGAACAGTAGGGCGTTAAACCCAATTTCATTTCATTTCTAATTTCCTGACAAGAAACGAAATATCTCTAATAACCTGACAAGTAGCAAAATGAAATGAAATGGGGTTTAACGTCCTACTGTTCTGCCCCAACCGGGATAATGAAGATAGGCATACGCCATATGCCGTGTGCCATGTGTTACATTTTGCCCGGACAGCGGCGCTACGCCCTACTCTTATTTCAAATCCCAACCGTCGATGTATACACGTGACTTTAGGTTTTCGTCCCATCCGAACGACTATACGCTGTCCCTTGCTAGGCCCTCCTTCCTACACCATTGTATACCTGAAGGCTGAAACTCCCGATGAACTTTCTCGGTCAATGCAGGGATCGAACAACGTACCTCTAGGTTAGTCAACGCCTTAGCCGGGGATCACGTGGCTAAGTGGGTAAGACGCTGGCTCGCTAGTCTGGAGGTCGGGTGTTCGATCCCTGCACTGGCCGAGAAAGTTCATCCAGATTTTCCGGCGTGGTTTCCCCTTTGTCAGTGATGCAGGGCGGAGGGCCTGACAAGGACAGCTGTCTAGTCGTTCGGATGGGACGAAAAACCGAGGTCTCGTCTACACATTGCCCGGGCAAAATTTCCCTCAAAGTACACTGTATGGCGTATGCCCGTCTTCATTAGCCCAGTTTAGGAGCAAAAAAGTAGGACGTTAAACCCCATTTCATTTTATTTCATTCAATTAGCCACCACGGCTCCCTTTCACAAGTAGCGCTAGCCATCAATTTAAATCTGAGACACAGTGGGTTGCTAAACAGCTCAGAAGACATTTTGAAACTAGCATACAAATATTAGTATTTCTATTGTTTTGTATGTGATGTCATGTGAATGGGTGGGGGCTGGGCTATTCTTTTTTCCATCCAAGCTTCCATGTTGTTTTTACGTGCACACCGGAAGACTCCATAGACAGAATAAGCATATCACTCGACACTAAATCAGTCAACCAATCAAATGCTTTGATAAGGACAATTCCGTTAAATCTTTATAATTATTTTGAATATGTAAAAACTTGATTGGCTGTGTAATCAAGGTCAATTTAATCAAGGAATTATTTACAAATCTTGCACATGATGTTGACCCCCAGAAACGAACGAACGAGCCACAGTCTTCCCATCACACAATCATTTTACTTTCGTTATTTCAGTTGACCACGACCAGCACCTCTACCACGACGACTTCCGGGGCAACAGCCAAGACATCATTCACAAAACACAAGGTGAAGTCGAACTCTTCCAGCTGAAACGATAAAAAAAAACCCGAAACATGTCACATTTTATATTTTTACTATTATATCGTTTAAGCCTATGTTATAATTGGCTAATATTTGAATTCCCATGCCGAATGTTTATTGTTATTTAATATCAGGAATTCACCATTCCACAAGGTATTATTAAGTTTGCCTTGGTACGGATGGCTCTATAATGCTCGTATTACGAGCAATCCAACCTCTTGGTACAGATGGTTCTATAATTGACGCATTATTAGAAAGCCACCGCCCCCTCCCCCTCCAGTACTCACTATGCTACCCTTGGCACGGATGGTGCTATAATTGACGTATTACTGTACATCCACCTTGGCTTTTTCATCCTCCTTCCACTAGTCACTATACTTTCCTTATTACGGATAGTGCTATAATTTTAGTATTACTGGACACCCACCCGTGCGTTCTTCTTCCTTTCATTAGTCCCTAT